GGGCGCAGATCCGCCCGGTGGTACCCAACCCTCTCCCGCCCCCTCCCGCCTCCTCCCGCCTCGGCCCTGTGGACGGCAATGAGAAACCCGGGGAACATCAGTGACGGCTTGGCTTTGCGACGTGCTTAAGTGTTAGGACGCGCTGCTGCGGACAGTTGGGGGCAGTGTCTCTTCTTCAAAACGCAGGCCTTCCGTGGAGTGCACCCCCCAACCCACTGGGTGTTCTGAGCGAAGGGTGCAGCCAGGCTGGCCCGACAGCACATCCTTCCAGCTCCCAAAACCACGCCTACGACGGAAACCTCCTCGTTCAGCTGCGGGGCATGTGCAAATGGTAGTAGTACCAAACGATGACACCCCTTCCAAGGGCACCGTGTGTCCGGGCTCTCTGTCCCTTCACTCCGGCTCGAATCGGCCACCCCCACGGCACGCGCCGCCTCGGCTGTCTCTGGACTGTCGGCCGACAGCACCGAGGAGGTGAGCGATGCGGTGGCAGGTGGCTGTGGGGACGACGTCCCCTCGGGGTTCACTCTGCCCGTGCAGTAACAAACGAGCATGTGTGTTTACTCCCCTCTGTGGATTGGATGCTAATTTTTTTTCAGGCCAAAGTCTTTTGAGCAGCAGTTCATCAGTGTCCTGTGTCTTTTCTGGAACAATTTCTCTGGCTCTGCGATTTAGCGTAAAGAACATGCTGCGTCAAACATTTTTCAGAGTGAGCCAAGTAACTGTTTTCTAATCTAAAGCCGTGAGTGATGTTCGTGAACCGATTTCCTCGAGGTTTACATTTTGGCAGCGTTACCGGTGGCACATGCAAAGTGACTCGGAGTGCAGCAGGGCCCAGTGGCCAAGACGAAGCAAACCCCACCCATCAGAAACACCAGGTACCAGGACAAGCGGATACTGAGTGATGGAGACTCGGCAGAAGGGTCCCTGGCTGAGTCAGCTGCAATAAGCCCTTTTGGTCGCACGCTTTAAAAGTTACCCTCGTGACCAAAAGTCCTACGATGTGGACTCATGGCCTCCAAGGGCAGTTTCGGCACAAGGCAAGGTTACCAGAAGGTTCTGAATAATAAGACGCCACCTGTAAACTTTGGAGAGATTTCCAGGGGGGAGGGACGGCTCATTCAGCACAGGGAAATGCTCCTCTAGCCCAAACCAGTGACGGGCACTGAGAACACGACTGCTTCTACTCCCCAGTCCTGGGACCCGAACACGTTTAGTTTGCTGTCTGTTCATTTAGTTTGTTTTGCACCCATGGGGCTCAGGGACAGACAGCCCGGCACCACGCAGCCCCGGCCAGGCATGTGGGCATGGTGGTGGTCAGACCGGGGGCAGGACAGACCTTATATCTGCTGGACTGAGGGCTGAAATCAGTGACTTCTGTCAGCAGTTAGAACTGCTGCCCGTCCTGCGACTTAGAGCTTTATCGGTCTGGGCGAGCCACGTACCTCTCCCGGGCCTCAGCACCTTCACCCACGAGAGAGACTAGAGCGACAGGGTCTGTGTGCCCCACCCACCGATGCAGGGGGAACACCTGGTGAAGGTGTGTCACGATTGAGGCACCAGACCTCACTCGCTCCCAGCCTGCCTGTGCTCTGGGGTCCTCCTTCCAAGTGGGAGCTGCTGATCATCAACTGTACAGACCACCGACAGTGCCGTGTACCGGGGGTCAGGAATAACCACCGTGACCTGGCATTCCTCTCAAAATTCTGGACAATGTGGTCCTGCAGATTCAGTGACACTGGTAATTAGGTCTAAAAAGGTGCACTGACCAGCCCTGACTGGTGTGGCTCAGTGGGTTGGGCACTGTCCTGTGAACAGAAAGGTTGCCAGTTCGATTCCAGGCCAGAGCACATGCCTGGGCTGCAGGCCAGGACCCTGGTTGGGGGCCTGTGACAGGCAACCAATGGACAAAAATGTGCACTGACCATCATTTGTCTCATCGTGGCTCTAAAAGACACTTAGTCGGCAGGGGCGTTGTGGCCGATGCTGAGTTCACTATCCCCTCGGGCACCACAGCCCCGACTGTCCGGCTGAGCTGAGGCTGAGGCACACCAGGGAGTAGCAATCAGTGTTCTGGGCAGAGTTCAAGGGCTGGGCTTGGGTAAGGAGCAAAGAGGAACCGAGGTCAGACACTTGGCAGATCAGAGTCCAGGGGCTCAGGGCCCAGGAGAAGTCAGGTCTGGGATCAAGGGCGACCAGAGGCAAGGAGGGAAGTCCCCCCTGTTCAAACAGAACACAGAGGGGCTAGAGAAGTTTCCAGAGAGCGGCCGAGCCACTCCCCACAGGGCTGCCCTTGGAGGGCCAGGACTGGCGCTTTCCCGGGCGCTCCCGGGAATCTCCTGCTGACGCTGACCACCATGCAAGGGGACACCCTCAAAGCTGCGTTTCTGTCCTGAAGTCCCTTCCTTCCCAGGCCCCCACTGTCTCAGTGATCAGCTGTCCCAGCGCTCTTACTCCTGTTCCCATCTCACCTGGAAGTCTGTACCGGCCCCTCCCCCTCAACACACCTCCCTGGAGTGTGCGATTGCACTTCCTGTTTGTCCCCACCCCCAATCCCTGGCCTTCGAAAGTCCCCTCTCCCCTGCTAGTTCCTTGAGCTATTTTCCCTGTGCATCCCCACAGTCCTCTGCTAGTTTTTATGGGGCTGATCCTCTGTTTCGTGTTACGATGATTTGTACGTGTCTTATTACCCTGCAAACCTCCCGAGGACAGAGGCTGCCCGCGTGATTTATGGGACACCCGCGGTTCCCCGCTTACTGCCTGACGCTGGTGGGCCCGGGGAGTGTGCACCGCGTTAAATTTTATCATATTCCGATTTCTGAGAGAGAATCATCATATTCCCCACCCCCCCCATTTTTCTCTTATTCCAAAATGTGGTTATAATAATGTGCTCACATTACACAGTCATGTCTCTGCAAATAAAACAGCTACTGGTCTCCGGTTCATCCTACTCAGACTCAAAGACGCTTTCTCGTCTTCTTGTTTCCCCGTAACGCTTTTCAGAGGGAACAGTCACTCAATCTTTCCAGAAACCACGAGCCCGTCATTCTGTGGGCGTCCTGCCTGTCACACCCGGGGGCAGCTGACCCCTTCCCGATCGCTCCCAGATCTCACCCTGTGGCGCCCCCCCAATTCAGTTATGTCTCTGGTACATTTCATGATCATGGGCTGGCGGGTGGGCGGGTGGGCAGGCAGGCAGGCGGGCAGGCAGGCAGGCGGTCCCTGTGTTTTAAAAATGACGCTCTGCGACTCCCTGTCTGGCCGGGGGTCACTGCTGGCGGTTGCACCTCACGCTTGCACCTGCCCATCAGCTGCTTCCCGCCCCGCCCCCCAAATCCTGAGTCACTCCCCTCAGGGGCCTTGCAGGCTGCGCTTCGGCTTCGCCTGGCACTCTCTCACCCTGCAGCTCTGGCTGAGGGAGCCCTCGCTCTCCCCTCCTCAGACATGCTCTTCAGTTCTGTCCCGAGCACATGTCCCAAGTCTGTGTCAGCTCGAATCTCCTACTTCAGATGTGGCCTTCCTATCTCGCCAACTGTCAGACTTCAAAGTTGCTTCTGCTTCATCCCAGGGGTGGCAAAGGGCTGTGCTGGGTGGGGGGCCCGTCTTACGCCCAGCGCTACGAATGTGTGGACAGGATGCTGCAGGTCGGGGCCAGTCGGGGCTGGGAAGGGCCTGCCTGAGCACCTGCCGTGGTGCTCCTGGGCTGCCGGCCACCAGGCACTGGGGGGCGCACAGCGCTGACTCAACTCGGGGCTCTTACCACAAAGGGCACAGGCCAGTCCTGGCAGACGCGGGTGGGGAGTGAGGTGCTGTGCCCGTGTTCCCGACCCCACGGGCCCTCTGGCCACTGGCACGGAGCTAGGACCAGAGTGCTCCATCGCTTCCCGAGACACCCAAGGTCAGGCTGAGCCGTTACATGGGAAAAGAGGACACTCAAACAAGACATGCGCTGGCCCACCGTGAAAAACACAGCACTGAGGTCATTACAAAGATGGGGAGGGGTTGCCAGGCAGGAAGAGCTGTAGCGAGAATGTTTTAATCACTCATAAGTTTCACGATGATTTCAAGGGTGGGAATCTGTCATCTAATCAAAAGGATTTGTGGGGACTAATCATTATCCAACCAGGAATTAATAATTCAGGCCTAACAGCCGTTGTGAAGCTTTGCAGCCAGTGGTGGGACGCGTGCTGGCTGGTGGTGCGGGGATGGGTGGCCGGCCTCCCTCCCCAGCCCTCAGTCCTAATGGGAGGGGCCAGCAGAGGGCCAGGGGACTGACTGGTCAGGAGGGCCAGGTTGCAGGGGCTCATCAGGCAGCCGGAGCGCAAACCACTCTCTGTCCCAGCCTGGCTGGGAAGGGCAGGAAAAGGGGCTCTGGCGCCAGGGGCTCTGGCGCTCTGGTCTTGCAAACACTGTGTTAAATATTTCCTCCCTCTTCCCGGGAAGCACATGGAGAGGAAAATGAGTTCGCACTGCTTTGGAATACACAGTGAGGCTCTCCGGGTGAGGAGCCCGCTGGCAGCTTGAGAGATTGGGTTAATCAGACACAGGAAAATCTCTGATTAATTGGACAATTATTTCGAATTCCTAGAGCGCCAAGGCGATATCAGAGAAATATTCCGACCAACTGGGAGTAAGTTCAACAGCCCGAGGCAGAGCTTTTTAAGCTTGCGGGGGTTGAAATACACGGGCACTGCATGTTGGGTTTTTATGGTCTCGAGTCTCCCCGACGTGCAGGGCCTCTGACTGTTTTTTAAGACCCATATCATGCAAAATTATTTTGGCTTTAAACAATTACAGAAAATCTGTTTACCAGTCCCTTGAAATGACTGTAGGACTCCAGGACACAGCGAAACAACGCCGGGCGCTGGGGGAGCGGCGCTGTGTGTGATGATGGAAAGTGGCCCAGGCCCACGGGCAGCTGCCTCCCCGTGCGAGCGGGCAGCCCCCGGCGCGCCTCCGTCCCGGTCCCTTTGGGGAGTCTGCAGGTGACCAGGGCTCACCTGGTGGGAGCGTGCTTCTGTTCCTCCTCCTCGTCCGTGTCGCTGCTGATGGTGATGACGCTGACCGTGGGGCTGGGGGTGTCGGGAATGACGATGGTCTGCCGCTGCCTGTCCCTCGTGGTGCTGGAGGCCCCGTCGCCCCAGCCACAGGTGACGGCGGAGCTGCAGGCCGGGCTGCTGTGCACCAGGGCGCAGCGGGGCGGGGTGTTCTCCTTGACACGCTTGGAGCGCTGAGGGGAACTGACGGCCTGCGAGGAGGACACCTCACAGGTGGAGACATTTCTGCAAAGAGAAAGCCGCACACACTCACGGAGGAAGGTCAGCCCAGCAGCATCTTCCAGGGAGCACACTGCCTAGAAAGCCCAGCTTTGCAAACCTCCATAGGGAAGTCAGAGGCTGGGGAGCTCAGACTTAATCCATATCCAGCCGCAGAAGTGGCCGCCCCTGGAGCGCTTCCTTTCAGGGAGTCACTGCACAGACGGGACAGCAGCTTGGCCTTCGCAGGGCTCTCTGGACTGACTCCATGTGCCTGCTCCCAGCAGGACAAAGGGGACAGCCAGGGCTCTAAGGATGGAGGGCTCTAAGGACGGGAGGGACTGTGCCCAAGGACTGGGCTGGCGAGGTGGAGTCACATGTAATGCCCAGGATTTAAGGGGTGTCTGCTCCAACGCAGCCCTGTCTTCAGGGTCAAGGCCTGACTTCCTGAGCTTTGTCTCGTCATCCTCCCAATGGTGCACAGGTCTTGTCTGGGAGAGGGGTGGAGGAAATGGTATTTGACACACAAAGCTTTGGTTTCCTTGCTAAGAGCTGGTTTGCAATTTAATAAATGAAAGCACTCAATTCTTGGGAGTTTCTGAATCTAAAGGAACTGAAATTGGTGGTTAGCTCTCCTTCCTCCATCCTCTGGGAAAGGGACATGACCATGCCAATTTCTGTGTATGTATAGTTTTCATTAAAAAAAAAAATTCTTCTGAGCCCTGGCTGGCATAGCTCAGTGGATTGAGCGCGGGCTGAGAACCAAAGTGTCGCAAGTTCGATTCCCAGCCAGGGTACATGCCTGGGTTGCAGGCCATAACCCCCAGCAACCACACATTGATGTCTCTCTCTCTCTCTCTAAAAATAAATAAGTAAAATCTTAAAAAAAAAATTTCTTCTGGATATAGATGCCTGAGTCTCATAGGAAGCTTACCAGTCTGCTTTAACTGTAATGAAAAATTGAGAAAAGTGAAAGGGGAAAAGGTATGTTTAAAAAGGGATCTTTTAGCCTTAATTTATTTGAAATTCCTTATCAAATTAGCCAGTGTAATTTCTGGCAACTTTAGGAAAAAATACCTTACTTTTCCCTTTCCCCATCAACCCTTGATACCAAAGCCAACCTATAATGAAACTGAAGACTCTGACATGTCAGAGATTCTAGCACCTTCTGGCTAAAGGGGAGGCAGAAAGATGAAAATTCTGTAAGGGTGGATTTACTTAATTTTCTATTTAGTTGCTATCAGATATGATGCTTGTTTCTTTTTCCAGGCTGGTAATCCTATGTTTTACTGCTAAGATTGTTTCATTGTTTGTACTCACCATAGTATTTGTTAGTGGTAATATGTTACAATTTTGAGATTATATTTCCACTACTCCAGTAGTTAAAATACCTCTGCTCAGCAAAGTTAAAGTATGCCTGGCTGCATACTGGTCTTTCAGGCTGTTTTGCCACAATACTGGCCTTAAAAATAGGCAAATACGTAACTTCCACTATAGCGACATTGATCTTGAAATGTACTAGCAAGGAGTCTCATGACACCAGCTGGGCCATGAGCAGGAAACCGGGAGGGACTTGTCAAATCTGGGAGGCAAAGAGTGCTTAGCCAGTGATGCCAAGGTCAGTCGTGCGTCAGACCAGAATTCCGTGACTGCCCACTGGCTGTGCCTGATAGCGCGTGAGGACTGAGGTGGTGGCTGTTACTGCTGCCTGATCTAACAGTGACGTGGGGGTGTTGGCACAGGGCTGCCAATCAAAAGCATTTTGGATGGCTGCCGCTGATCTGAGGCTAGTTTCCCTGAGTTGTCAGCAACACCCAACCAAGGAATCTGGAAGGGTGGTGACTTGAGGAAGTTCTTAGATTAATTTCTGAATGCGAGTACAAAAAGGCAGGCCTAATTTCTGAAGCCTGACTATATGAGGAGGTAGAAAACCGAATCACTAGACATTTTATATCCTGGACTTCTCTTCATTCTTCTATCCCAAGTAAGCAACCCGGTACCTCCACGTTACTGCCACTGGAGAGACATGGAGGGTAGTTCTGCAGCTGCACAATATCGATTTCAATCTTTTTTCGTTTGCAAATCTTTTTTAAAAAGTCAGGTTTATTGAGGTACACGTCCCGTAAAAGTCTCCCTTTTGAAATACTCGATGAGTTTTGACAAATGCATGGCCACGGAAGCCCACCCCACAATTCAAACACAGAACTTTCCACACCCATCTGTCACTCCCCTCCTCTCCTGCCCTAGTCCCTGGCACCTCTGGAGCTGACCTCTGTCCCCACAGCTTTGCCTTTTCCACATGCCACACGCTCTGGTGGAACCCCAGAGCATGGGCCTTTGGTCAGTCATGACTTTAGATAGAGTTCACTGAGATGAGACTGGATTTAAAGGAACAGGTAAGGTTGTTATTCTGCTGGTTAACGTCTAGGATTAACCAAGTTATGGCTTATACTTAAACAAGCCATTAAAGAGGTTAAATTTCTGACCTTAGATTTAAAAACACCAAGAATCACATTTTTAAGAAAAGTTATGGTTTCCAAATGCAACTTCAGAGGTGAGTCTGAGTGTTTTCTAGAGAAGTTGAAAGGGGACAGAACTGCTCACCGCCCTGGCACTGAGCATGGACCCCAGGGACACGGCCAACACCCGCACAGACTCCAGAGTGAGCGCCTCCCTCAAACCCTGGCGCTATCCGCATGGCACCCTGGGCTCCGCGGGACACTCTGCGTGCCAGGCCAGGGATCCAGAGCACAGGCTGCCAACCCAGCACCGCTAAGAGTTTTTTCTAAACTTCCGATTTCCTGAGGTCACCTCTAGATGACACCACCTACCTTGCAGAGGACTGGTGCTGCTTGCTCTTCCGAGAGGAGGTGGTGCTGGTTGGCTGCTGCCGCATTACGTGGGCCACGCCCACATTTAAAGGCTGGGCGGCTGGAAGGGTCACATGACCAGTCAAGAGCGCAGGCTGCTGCATGATGGGATTGTAATGGCTGCCGTGAGCGTGCGTGTTCCTGCCAGGGCGGTGGGAAAACAAGGCTGTTTATTGTGCTTATAAACACAGAGCTCCTTTTTAAGGTAAAGGTTCCTCCCCAGTTAAATGCCAAATTAAACCCCCAACTTGGTTATGTGGCTAGCTTGTGGAATTGTTGAAGAGATAAGCCTAGCCAGGTGAGCACCCAGGCGCAGTGACGTTTAAGCACTGTTCTGAAGGAGCGGCAGGAACACAATTGGTTGGTAAGAAAGAGCGCGTTTTAAGTGGCAGGAAAGCCAAGCACGTAGGCTCAGCTCAAGTTCCTGGGAGAGCAGATAAATACTCCCTCCAGCTTTTAGAGCATTTACAGAGTGCCTTGGATGGGTTACCCCACTCTGTGAGATAGGCAGAATATATATTAGTAACAGCATTTTACAAACAAGGGAATTGCCGTTCATGTGAAAAAACAAACACTGAGGACTGGGAGCCGTTCGTTTTCGGTGTTAGGAGTTAACATTCTTTTGAATTCCTTCAGTGGCTAGCTCAGTGCTCAGGTATGTAGCAGCTGATCAATTAATTACATACTTGCTGAATGAAAAATTAACTGAAGGCTGCCTAGACATGGTTAGAGTTTGATATTAAAATTAGTAACAGGCAGACACATTGATAAAAATATGGGCAGCATTATCTGGATAAGGGGTTATGTTTCAAAAGCTCTGTGACCCTGGTTGTATGGAGTGCATGGGCTTGTTCTCCCACACCAATCTTAGAACTGGTAATCAATGCATAGACTTGCCCATAAAAGCTCACTTAATACATAAAAAAATGAAAAGCTATAGAGTTCATTTGAATTTTTAAAATATTATAAAACTTATCTTTGCAACTTGGGGGAAATGAGTAGGAAAAAAGGAGGGGGCACTTTTGGAGAGATTGTGACAATTTCGCAGTCTTTTGGATATTTACATGGATTTTAGAAATTGATGTTATAGCTTCTTTATTTTGTTGTTGCTATTTCTATAGACATGGCTCTCTTTTTCCCTTTGATGCAGGTCTATCACTGGCACTTGTCTATGTTTTTTAGCCGTGATTACGGGCGTTCTTTGGTCCACTCAGGAGCTGGAGAAAGCAAGTGTGCAGGCTTTAAGTGTGTTCCGCTGTAACCAGACGAGAGGGATGAGGAATGAGAAAACATGCATGGACCAGTGAGTACTGCTGAAACCTCATGAGCTGTGAATGCTGGTAGACACAGGAAAAAAAAAGCGTAGAACATATGTGTGGTCCATTTAGGAGAAAGAGGGGTGAGAAGAAAAGACACTTGGTTGAACAGCTTTCCATCTGGCTGCTGTTCCTCAGAGCTGGAGAGGGCAGGTGGTCTCGGTGAGCAGAAACCAAAGCCGGTGGGGGAAGATGGGGAAGACAGGTTTGTTTATTGCCTGTCATGTACCAGGTGCTGGTATAGTATGCATTAAATACAGGCCAAGTTATTCATATTTTATCTTCAATTTAGCTTCCCAACAGTCCTACGAGGATTATTACCCCCCCTCTACTGAAGAAGAAACTGAGGCTCATAGAGGTTAAGTTACTTGCCCAGGTCAGAGAGAGGCCAGTTTTACCTGGTCTGAAAGTGCTTCCAGGGAGTGGGGGGTGCTCATGGGGGTTTTCATCAGTGAGAAGTGAGTCAGGCTGTGGGAAAGAGCCTGTGTACTCCCCTCACTAGTCAGAGAATTAAGTGGCCAAACAGAGGAAGCTGCATTTGAGGCTTGACTGGGGGCTTACCTCTCTACCTCTTTCTGTTTTACTGAGAGCTCTTCATTCACAAGTCTTTTAGGCCAGCTGGCATGGAGCCCCTCAGAGGGTGGGGGTACAACCTGCCCCAGGTGTGGGCTGAATGAGAGACAGTTGCTCAAACTCTCTCTCACGGGGCATGGGAAGCTGGGAACAACTGGGGTGCCACGTGACTCTGCACTGGTGAAGGGGGCGCTGTGGGGACAGAGTGGATGCGAGGTACAAGGAAGAGCGGAAGTAGCCACAGAAACAGCAGAGGAGCACGTGGGCGAGGAGGTCAGCGTGTGGGAGGGGCAGGGTCTGGAGGCAGAAGCAGGGGGTATGGCGTGCTGGTGGCTGACCGCGGAGGCCTCTGGGATATGTGGGCAGCGGACTTGGAGCTGTGAGATGCAACCACAGACGTAAGAGCCGCCACACGCAGCAGAGGGCACCGTTTGAAATAAAGCCTGTTCTGTCAAGCCTTCCCCCGGGAGAGTCAAGGTGACTCCAATGCGTCCGTGTCTCAGAACACCTGGAGAACACTTTCTAGAATTGCTGAGGAACCTTGGGGACTCTCTTCCGCATGCTTTCGCTGGTGACAAATCTTTATTTTTTGGGAGTAGAATTTGATCTGAGAAACAAGTAAAATCATCTAGAGCCCAGTCCTGTGAATTACACTGTAAATGGTGTAGCTGAATTTTTCAGACACGACAACTGACCATAAAGTAGTGAAGCTGATTTTCTTGTTTCCTAGAACACTTATTTAAAAGTTACATCTCCTTACACTGTAGTCATAGTCTACATAATCCTTTTAATTTGGAAAGCTTTCAGATAAACAGGACTTCAGGGCCGAGGCGGGCCAGCCTCCCAGCCCCCACGCGCCAGCTCGGCCGCTTACCTCCAGTCGGCCAGCTGCTGGGTGCCTGCCATGGTCTCGGGGATCACGGTTGCGTGCTGCACCGACGTGTGGGTGGCCACTCCGGTCAGCTGCTGCCACGCTGGGGGGAGCAGGATCTGCTGGGTCCCGCTGGGCCAGGCCTGCTGTAGTGCACAAGATGTCTGCAGTCACTGTGTGTTAGTCATGTGGCCGACGTGCTGAGGCACGCACTTACCTATGCTAGACCAAGTGATGGGGCGGGGCTGGGGGGGGGGTGGGGACACCTGGTCTTCCATTGGCTGGGAGAACTCGGATAACCTCTTTACAGAAGGGCAGAGTCTACAAGGATCGGGCGGCGGTCACTTCCACGGCCCGGGGGCTCTGTATTTCTGTGGCAGCCTTGCTAGTGAAGGCTGGGTTGGGCGCCTGCCGTTTGCAGAGTGAGAGCGATTCAGCGCCGCCTTGACCAAGAGCCGCGCTTCCCCTCTCGCCACCTCGCCACTCCTGACGGCTCTGAGTCGGAGCGTGGGGGTGGCAGACCCGGCCAGTCTGACACCAGCACCTGGACTTGAACGCCATGCCAGACCACTCCCGTGTGACCGCTGTTGTCGTCGGTGCCGAGGACGGCTTGGCCGCAAGGTTGTCAGGTCAGAAGCACTTTCTAACAAGGCCAGTTCCCTCAGTGTTTCCAAAGACACTTTATTTACGGTGGCCTTTGTTGAATAGAAGTTTGGGGTTTTAATTTTAATGTAAATTAAATTGTAGTCAAATTGTACAGTTCTGTTTTGCGCTCCCTATTACATTCACCTCTCTAATTAATATTGTACTGTCTTAACTATTATAATTATAATACATCTTGGTATCTGGTAGGGGCACCGTTCTTTAAAGTTTCCTTGTCTGTTCTTGTCCCCTCACCTTCCCACGTGGATTTAAACATCACTCTAAGGTAAGAATTGTAGTTTCAAAAAAAGTGCTTTCTTATATTTATTGAACTTGCCTAAAATTTACATTTATTTTAGTAACTGACATTTTAATAATGTTAAGTGATTTTGTCCCTGAAAGTGGTACAACTGTGTGTTACCTTTATTCTTTTCAAATTTTCTTCTGTTGTTGGAATAATTCCTAAGTATTTCACAGTTTTTGTTATTAATTCTACCAGCCATATCTTTTAATTATTTGCCTTTGTTTTATAGGAATATACGATTTTGGTCTATTGAGTGTATCTGTCAGTCTTTCTAAATTGTTTAGTTCTGATGGTTTCTCTGAATCCCCGTGGATTTTCTATGTGGACTGTCTTTGTTTTTGCAAATGATAGAGTTTTGTTTCTTCCTTTCCAAAACTTACACCTTGCATTTTTTGTTCTGCCACTGTGCTGACAGCACCTCCAAAACAACATTTAATAACAGTGTTGACATGGGGTGTCCTTGGCTTGCACCGGATTTTAAGGGGAATTCTTTTAGCTGTTGGACATTTGGCATGTTATTTAATGTAATATTCATATTTGATAAAGATGAATATTAAATTATATTAAATGTTCTTCCTGCACCTATTGAAATACATGTTTTAGTTCCTTAATCTGTTAATGTAGCAAGTTACTTAACAGACTTTGCAGTGTTAAAACTATCCTTGTATTTCCCAGATAACCTTTGCTCCTGGTGTGCCGGACGCGTCTGTACGCTTTTCAATACTGCACCGTTTGTAGGTATGGTAGGTAGTGCTTTTGCGTCTGCATGCATTAGTGAGAAATGGCATGTGGTTTCTCTGCCTTACAGATTCCTTATTGGATTTGGGCATCAAGGGTACACCAGTTTCATAAACTGTGTTGAAGTTTATCACCTCTTCTGTTTCCTGGAACAGCCTGGTTCAGATCGACATTAACCATTATTTGTCTTTTTTTTTCTTACTTCCAGATTAATTGCAAATGACCGAGAACACCAGCTTCTGGTGGCCCCGGTTTTGTGAACGAGCCTCCTGCACTTAAAGCAGGCCTTCTTCCTACTCCGGCCCCTCGCACTGGTCCTCAGGGCTTCCTGTCATTGGCACAGTGTGGCACTATGTTGTTTAGAAACCGCCGAACCAGATGGAGAGAGGGAGCTGCGGCTGGTTCCAGGGCACGGCTGCTGGTTCGTCCTTTGTCTGAGCGGCAGGCACCCAGGCCAGTCTCCCTGAGCTCCTTCCGGGAGCCCAAACCTACAGGTTCATGTGCACTTTGAAGGGTGCTTTTACATCCTCCGTTGTGTTTGCACATGAAACCCGAGGAAGCCCAGATCTAGCTCTGAAGGAAATGACAATTAGACTCTTCCTGGCTAAGATGGACATTCTTCACTGTTTGGTTTGGTGGGGACCAGTGGGCCCGGCATTTCCGACTTTGTATCAGTCCTTTATTCACAGCGGAGGAGAGCTCTGCCTTCTGCTCACTCGGAAAAGTGTCCCTAGGGCACCCTAAACCTCCAAGGGGACTTAACCTGAAGCTGTAATTGGGAAAGTCAAGCCAAGAAATCTGTGAACAGGATTTTAATTGCTGCAGTGTTTATAGGAGAGAACTGCTGGAAGCAAGTTGAACGGTCATGCGTGGGAGGTTTGTTAAATGAACTGATGGGTGCTACAGTGAAACTCCATGCGGCCATTGGAAAGGACGTGGTGGGCCAGTGTGCCCTCACAGGCACAGGTTTCTAAGATCTGCTGAGTGAGAAGCCCCTGCCCTGTCCAGTGTCAGGCTGGGCCTTCTGTCTGCCAGTTGCTGTCTCTTTCTCACTGCTTGTCACTTAACCTGTGCCGGTGTCAGCCTGTTATAAGCAAGGGCTCCCCTAGTATTTTCAAATGGTCCCTACAAAGGACAAAAGTAAGCTAACTTATAAAAATGAGTACGGTAACTGTATGAAAAAGCAGTAATTAGACATTTAAACTGATGCCTTCATTTTTCTCTGGGTAAATCTTTAGGTTTCAGGCAAAAGCACTCCCAATACTATTAGTTACTTTAAATGTATCCAGAAAATGGGCGTCATTCTTTTCATCTGAATATTTAAACCCTTTCGAGGATTTTACATGCGGACGGTTAGAGGTGGGGCCTTCCGAACCCACTCCGCATTAGCTGTGTCCACTTGGCCCTCTCCCCCTGCCTGCCCAGCCCCACCCTCACAGGCCCTTCAAAGGGGGTGTGTCCCTGGGCGCCCTGAAGAGGTGAGCCGGGAAGGAGAGGGTGTGATCACACCGTCCCACTTCAGTGCCATGAGAGCCAGCCGTCCGGAGTGCCCCAGCAAGGCTGTTGGATGCAGCCTAAATGCTGCTGTCGCCTCTGGCCTCCAAATGCAACGTGACTGTGACAGTGCAGCCCATGGTTGTGCCTCACTGTCCCTTTTTGTCAAAAGGTGATAAATACCTTACAGTGTTGTGGGGATTAAATCAAACAGAACTGTAAGGTGCCCGGCACAGTGACAACGTATCTGTTATTAAAGTCTGTGTCCTTACTGTTAGCATTGTATCACGCGTTACCTTAAACCCCACAACACTGTGCGAATCTTTCATCATTTTCACCTGCATGATCTCGTGCTGCCATTGGCACCCAGGTGAACAGATACAGAAGGCGCCAGCTCACAGCTTCTGGGACCCTGCCTTTTCAAGTACAAAGTGAAGAAATCATCTCCAAGGCTTTTTTTGGCTCTAAAAAGTAATTTCTATTTTACAAGAAAAAGATACTTCTTTTGGCAGCAAAGGGATGTTAACTGACACGCCTCAGGTTACAAAGAGTTACTAGTAGAGTTGGGATTAAAACCTAGGTCTCCTATATTAAATATACCATCCTATATTAAAGATACCATCATCATCATCATCATCATCTCCTCCCCAGACTCCCCCCATGTCTGAATTTCTGCTTGGAAAGGTAAGCTAGACACTTGGAAGGGTAATTCACTCGAGGGTCATCCAGAATATTAGAGAGAGATTCTAACGACTCGAAGCACCTAACTCACTGCCAGGAAGGGATTCGGCGGAGAAACATCTCTGTGGAAAGCATTAACACGGATAATGGCAACACGAGGAATAATGAATTACCTGGGCGAGCAGACCTGGTTGGATCTGGAGAGGCTGAGCTCCCGGGGCTTGAGTGACGATGGGAACAGCATTTTCCATCCGCACGGAGTAGCCAGCATGCTTGGAGGGCGAGGCCTGCAGCCCTGCTCCAGGAGGTGGGAGGGGAGAGAGGGCTGAGTGACGGGGCGCCGGCCCGATGGAGGGAGAGCTCCCCTCCCTCCCCTCCCCGCCGGTCCCCTCCGGGTCGCGCCTGCTCCTTCGGTAGTCTCCCCTTCAGTTTTTAACTTAAATTTTAAAACACGACAACCCCACAGAAACCACCACGAATGTGTCCAGAGGCTAGAAGGGGAAGCTAAGGAGTTCGTAAAGCTGAAGGGGAACGGCGATGCCGACAGATCACGGCGGGAGCAGAGGGGCTGCGGCAGGAAGACGCGCTGCACAGGTCACTGCGTCACAGCAGCGTGTGGGGGAGGACGCAGGGGTCCGTTCGCAGGGGCTCTGCCTCTGAAACCGGGCGGCCACGCGCAGGCTCCCCCATGGGGTCCGCAAAATCAATTCTCTCGCTTTCTGTGTAAACTGTAACCGAGTACGTGGTCAACTCCAGCGTCCTGGCGGTCTCAGGGGGAGAGTGTGCGGGTGTGTGGCTGAAGAATCATTGGGGTGTGGCCTGGGAGGTGCTTTTCTGACCGATTTACCTTCTTCACGAGACCTGGGGCTGTGCTGGCGGTGGGGGTGGGAGTGGGGGCTGGGGGGCACTTCTCTGCAGACGAGCCACACACAGGACATTCCCTGTGAGAAGCCCCAGAGCTGATACAGCATAACAATGGGGCCACGGACAAAGTGCTTATTCACAGACAGCAGGCCAGGGCCCAAATCGCTGGCAGGTGGTGAGAATAACAAAGTCTTGCTGTTTCCGGGCTGGCCACAGTAGGACGGGGCCTGGAGTCCGGTGATGCGGACAGAAAGGAATGCGGAGGGCTTTGCCCCAGGGAAGCCGGCCTGACAGAACAGGGTGGGGCTTTGTCTGGCCAGCAGCAGGTGAGAGGTCGGCCCGCCCCTCCTTACCTTGGAAGCCGGGTGGGCACACGATGAGAGCTTGCTGGAAGGGGTCGGGCCGGGCACAAATCTGGGCTGTTCCCGTCTGCAGGGGCAGGCTCCGCTGGGCCACCGCGGCCATGGAGGCCGCTGAGGGCTGGTAGAGTGCAGATTGGTAGTTTAGTATGGAGACTTCGGGATTGGCTAAGGAAATAGTGGCACTGGTGGAGGTGGGAGCCTAAAGGAATGGCGGGGATTAAACAAAAATAAACAAAAATAAAAGATGAGGGAGGTGGCATGTTGGGAGACACGAACCTAAATCAAATCAATGAACTCAAAGGAGAACGAACAAACGAAATCCAGGGGCGAAGAGGCAGAAACAGAAGGGCGGGGGCGTGTGGCCGAGAAGTCTCAAGGAGAAGCCGGGATCTGCGGCCGCCTGTGACGGTCCCCCTGGTGCTGATGCGCGGGCCTGTCTCTGCCATCTGGGGCCCCAGGCCAGAGTGCCAGTGGGTGCCCACTGGCCAGGGGTGCAAATGCTACAAAGTTAGAAGTTAGGCTAGAGCCCTGGCCGGGCAGCTCAGTTGGTTAGAGCATCGTCCCAATGTGCCAAGGCTGTGGGTTCGATCCCCAGTCAGGGCACATACAAGAAGCAACCAATGAATGCATAAATACGTAGAACAACAAATCGATGCTTCTCTCTCTCTCCCTTCCTCTCTAAAATCAATAAGTAAAAATTAAAAATTAGGCTAAAAATGATTTATGTCGTGCCCTTCAAATTTGACAAGTACACCTTCATGGCAATAGGGAAAGCCAGGTTCGAGTCCAGGAGTCCTGCATTCCTGGGTTCTGTCCTGGGACATGGTGACGGGGCAAGCTGAACCCGTCTTCCTTCTCTTCCTGTCCCAGCTCTGTCCCCACAACCCGAGGGGCTGTGGGTGCAGTCCACACTTGGGAGGACAAATCCAGGAAGAGGCCCCTGCAGGGCCAGGGTCCCAGGTACCCAGAGCTTGGCGTGGAAACACGCATCTCAGGGGGAGGCCTCGAAGGGGCCCTCCTGTTTGGGTCTGAGGGCAGCACTGTTTATAGATACACCCAGCTGGGCGCACAGCAGCAGTTACTGCAAAGGACTGTGCTGCGGAATCAGGGAGCGAGGGAGGGAGGGGGACACACTGAGCCTGGGGTTTCCTCTGTGAGTGTGTGGATTCGTACACTGGTGACCAGCTACCAGGCCTGGAAGGCAGACAGAAGAGATCCTGGTGGGTCAGGAGAATTGAAATGGAGACGGGTTAGACAAATGGTGAAGTTACATCCTCTCTCCTTTCTCTCAGAGAGCAGTGCCACTGGAGACTGGACTTCTGCCGCATGAAGCCAGGCGGCAGAGGGAAAGTAACTTCTGAATTGGGAATCTTAGCTTTTTCCACGCCGATCCATCAGCATAGTAGGTGGAGGGTACCAGTGGCTTTAAAGTCACCACGGTTTACAAGAGGGTTGGCCGCTCGGGGTTACAGGACTGAAGAATAGGAGGAAAGGACCACAAGGACGTTTTGGACATGTACAAAAGCAGAACCACAAGAAGGGTATGTATTTGTGTCAAATTTGACACACAAAAAAGGATAGGCTCATTTTACATGTTTTTTTATACTTAGATTTTATGCTGCGTTTCAGTGCAAAGCAAGTTAATTTGTATCAGGATGAATACTACATGGTGTGGCGTGCATGTCTGCAATTTAATGTTGGGAACCGCCCTGCCTGGTATCAGAAGCTGGAACCCCCGCCAAGGCTAAGGCTGAGGGAGTGTAAGGCAGCAAGGAGATAAAAGCTTATCTTCCTGGAAGGAGCACTGCTTCTGCTGCTTCATTCATAACTGAACCCCAAAGCTTGGTCGGTTAGCCAAATAAGATTCCCCAAGGGGGGATCGACCTAAGACAGGCACGATCACGTGGGAGGCCCCCGAGAAAGGACTTTGGGGGCTACAGCAAAAGGTGGTGAGGGACCCTCGCCCCTCGGCTTTGACATAGCCTGAGTCCTCATCGTCTGGGAGAAAATGTCCTTATCTTTTGGTTGCCTTAGCTCCCTTGTTCCATCTAAACCTGAAACAATGACAGGGTGGTGCAGCTCTGTGCTGAAAAGGGCGGGTTCCCTGGGTGATCAGGCCTAAGAAAGAACATGTAAAATCCTGTGAAACCTGCTTTGTTTAGAATGCTCTCAGTTGAATGATAAGGGTCCAAGGAAGAAGTAAGTTTGTTCCTCAAAGTTTTACAGCTCTTTGACCCTGACTCAAAATAGGCCCTCAGACTTCCTTGTTATCTATTGTTTGATCCTTACTTCCTAGCAATGAGTAATGAGCTTTTACCTGAATTCTTGTTCAAACGAAACCAATAAAAAGCCTCTCTGGAGGGGGAACGGGGCGCTCTCCCGACGTGAGGAGTGGCCCTGCTGTTCCTATTCCCCCCACAGGACCTGGTTGTCTCTGTGTATGTTTTTCTTGCGTGTTGACGAACATCCGCAGCCGAGATGGATACTGCTGGCCGGTATCCACCACAATTTAAGATCTGTGCTGTGACACTAAGTGTGTCTGTGCAATGTCATGTGGCTGGCCTCCAGGTGTGAGTGTGAGGGGAGCGTGTGCAGCACGTGTGGGCCGGTGTCCGTGCTTCTGCCAGACGCCACGCCTCGTACTTCCTCTCAGTTCTCTCCGCGTCCCCATGGCCCCAGGGCTCCCCATGTACACATTCCCCACTATCTGCTCTGCTCCACAGGCCGAAGTCCAGACTCTCTGCAGGCCTGGAGCTGTGGGCTTCCCTCTTTGGGGCACCAGGGTCCCCAACTGTCCCACCTTCTGGTCAGCCACGGGGCCTGCTGCTCCTTCCTTCGAACCGGCCCTGAAACCCATCGGCTTGTGTCTATTGCTCCTTCCCCAGCGGAGGCCCTGACCAGAGATGTTCTGGCCTCCACTTTTGCTCTTCCAGTTCTTTTTGGGCACAGAGGCTAGAACGTTCGTTCCAAAAGACTACGCTGTGCGCGTCACCACCCCTGCTCACAAGTCTCCGATGACGGCCTAATGGACGCTGTCTACGTACTTGGGCCTGGCGCTCCACCCTTCCCTTCTAAATGGCTCCCCCCACCCCCATGCCCTTGGCAGCACAGACCAGCCCGCTCACTGGGGTGGGGGTTCTGGTGACGTGGTGGGAGGTGGTCTGGCCGTGGACACTTTGGCCCGAGGGCTGGGCTAGGTGCTGGGAGGGATGTCGGTGTCTGAGGGAAAGCTCCCCACTCAGGAGAGCTTTCAGAAGGCCAGTGGCCCCCAGGGGGCAGCAGATGCCGGGGTGGGGGCCCTCCCCTGGAGTTGAGGCAGAGGGCGAAGGTAGGCTGGAAGTACAGCCAGGCCTGAGCACCCAGGGTGCACCAGGAGCGGCCGGGAAAGGCAGGGCCCGTGACTCCCAGTGATAGGAGGGCTTGTCAAAAGGCCGGGCGTGGCCAGGCGGAGGTGCTCACTCACCCTTCAGGAGCAGAACACAGGCAATCCGCCCTTCAGGAGGCGTGTGTGTGTGTGTGTGTGCGCGCGCGCATGCGTGTGTACACGGGCAGGACTGTTCTCACTGTTCACTGATATTAAGACGGAAAGAGTCTGGGGAGGCGCCTTTGGGGGAGCTGGGGAGACTGGAAGATGGGAAGAAAAGGCGCTTGGACAGCAGAGCTCGCCCGAGCCAAGGCCTGGAGATGAGTCAGTCGGTGACTGTTCCCTGCATGTTAGCTGCTAGATCCTGCTAATTTTCTGCAAGAGGCTGGAAATCTGTGGAGAGAAAACCATAGTCTCCTGGTTCCTCTCAGTTCCAGGGGCTGGGATTCTGGTGACAGACTAATGAACTGATTTTCCCCATGACCTGGAGGAAGGACAGGTTTTTCTGTCTTGAAAGGAGGCTGCACGGACCCTGCAGTCTGGGGACAAGGGAGAGGGGCCCATACTGGGTGACCGCCAGTGTCCCAGTTCTGAATTCTGCAGCAGCAGGCAGGTGCCAGCTACAAGGATCACAGCATCTCCTGCATCTCATTCGTACATCCGGGCGGGGAGAAGCGGTAAGAGGAGCCGTCTCAGAAACCTCTCCCGTGGAGGGAGGGCGCACACAGCTTGCCCGGAGGGACCACCGTTCACACCGAGTCCCTGCGGCTCTACGGGAAGCAACCTCGAAGCGAACCCCTTCATAGAGCTGGAGACACAGCAAAGCCATTCTGGCTCCCGACCGGCTTTGCTGGGGGAGCACGGCTCCTGACACCCCCGTCAGCCCCGCCGCTGCCTCCTCTGTGCCCGCTTACCTGGTTGTGGACAGTGTTCAGCTGGTTGCTGAAGGTCATGGTCAGGTTGGTGGATGTGCTGGGGGCCACGTGCGTGATGAAAGGGGTTTTGCTCTGGTTCACGGTATCATACATGTTCACCCGGCGCTTGCAAATCTCCATGTTCTGGAAACACGATTTGACGCTGTTCACGCAAAAGGCAGAGGCAGAGGTGCGAGGGAGGGAGAAGAGGAACGGGGGGAGAAAGAGGCAAGAGAAAAGGAAGGAGCGGTTAGTGCGGCGGACGAGACGGCGAGGGCGACTTCGGGTCCGAGTCTCCTGGGTTTCTCCCGGGAGTCCGCGTGTGCAACGAACAGCCAGCGTTACTCAGACGAGTCCGCCCACCCTGGACAGGTGGGGTTGCCCCGCAGCCCCCCAGACCCCCAGCCGATGGCTCTCACTGACTCTTCCTCCTGCTGCGGGTCTGTCTCCAGCGTCACTGCTCATTCTCAGCTTCCAGTATGGCTTCTGGCCCACTGACAAGCGTGTACATTCTCTGGTTGGGAACACTAAACAGCAGCTCACGACAGGCCTCCACCTTCCCCAAAGACGACAACTTCCCAGCTACTCTGGGGCACCGGCGCCATCTAGGGGCCAGCCGGGGAACTAGCCAGCTCAGTATCATGACCCCACTGCCCACTTTCTCCCCACCAGAACTGTGCACGTAATGAGAACAGTAACAGTATTAATAATTAATAATAGTGGCCAACGGTGATTGAGAGCTGCGGTAGTTGTGTGCAAGACTCTTGCACTCCGTCCTACAGCAACCGCGAGAGGGAGGGTTGACTGATGCCCCTATTTTAGGAGCCAGGATGAAGTTTAGAGGGGACACAGAGTCTGCCAAGGTCAAGGGCTAGTTACAGGCAATCTTCTTCACTCATACACACACACACACACACACACACACACACCCATCCTCTTTAACTTCTTCCCTCCTTTCTTTTTGTTTTCTAATTCTTGCCCAATTACTTAAATAAAAATATTCTCTCCCCTTTTCTTTCTTCATTGCATTTATGCACCAAAACAAAACCCTAATATGAAAGGAGATGTAAAACTGTTGCTGGCGCCAGCTTCGAGGCACAGCAACGTCACAAGGGGCCTCACCCAAGTTCTTGAAAATCTGCCACAGAGTGTTCAGAAGTCAGTTGTTGTTTCTCACTCACTTCTGTGTCCTGTAAGGAAACTTACTTCTCCTTAAATGCTAATATTCGAGATGACAAAACAGCATATAAAGTTGAATTTTAAAGACTTACTAACTGTAATGTAATGACTAAATATAAATAAAATAATCTTCTACTGTTTTAAGACTTCTGCATGCTGTGGCACGCTGCATTTTGGGCCAGGCTGGTGCTTGTGGGCCACCCCCAAACCTCCTGCCCACACAAGACGTTCCAAATGGACTCAGACGGGCTCAGAGACCCCCCCGCCCCCAGGTAGTGACTGCTCACACTGGCCGCACGATGCACTCAAAGTCAGCGCCTGCGGACCGTGGGCCCTGGAGAGAGGGGAGAACGTGCCCTGCCGTGACCAACGGCGGAAGGACCTCCTGGCTGGTAAAGCTGGCGTGCTCTGAGCATCACTGAGTCCTACGCACACCACTAAGTGCTTTCCCACGGTGCCTGATGGAATAAAGCAACCATTCCTTTTGGAAGTGTATTGAAAGCATTCAGTGGTTTTGTGACAACTCAACCAAAAGCTTTTAGACTCAGAATTTTCCACCTGGAATGGTCTAGCCCCTGCACTTTGGGTTACTTCTGTGAGGATGGTGTTTAGGGAACGTGTGCCCCCGAGTCCCGGTGCAGAGAAACGGTGAGCTCCCTTCCAAGGGAGGGGGCTGCAGCGGGTGGCTCTGCAGTTTCTCCCCCCCCCCCCCCGGAGCTCCCCTGGTCTTCCCAGTAAGTTCTAGGGACCCTCAGGGATGGGACCTGCTCGCAGGTAAGCCTAGGTGTGCTCAGAGACCCATCTTGCTTTCTGAGGCCCTTTTCCTGAGTTCTGAGTGGTCAGTGGTCCTCCCGGGACCCAAACCACGTTCCGAACGCAAAGCCGATGCTCAGGTCTCCGTGCTCGGCGCTCCCCCGTATGGTGAAGCATCCGCTGCTGCTCCCTCACGGCCCAGATGCACGGGACGGGGGCAGCCAGCCCTGACTCCCGCTTTCCGTGGGTGGCTCTCTGACTTAGCGCAGGTGGCTAATGGGGCACCCCCTCCACCTCCCACCCACAGCCGCTTCTCGGTCGTCCTGCTCCACCCCTGAACACAAGAAGGCCCATCTTTTGGGGGCCTATCCAGTAATCACTGAGCCCGCCTTCCTTCTATGTACAGACTGACACCCACTTGAAGTGCCCCAACCACACTCAGAAACGGGACAAATCCCGTAACAGGTGTTTGCAAGGGACGGGTCCAAGTCCCTTCTCTGTACTCGAGTTGGCTCTCTCAAACACGGTTCTAAATCAAAGATTCACTGTTTGCTGCAATGTAATTTGACTTGCGTAACATCAACTCACAAAGAACAGACGTGAAATTAGAGGACGCGTCAGCTGTGGCAGGTGCCACCTGCTCATTTCTTGCAGGCTGGTTAAGGTCAAGTCTAGCCTTGAGACTCAGCCCCATCTCAGTCTGGTCATGGCAGGGTCAGCTGTGGTCTGCGAAGGTCTCTCTTGCCCAGCCTCTTCTCACGTCGCCCCCTTTTCCTCCTGACCCCGGTGCTCCTGAGCACCCTGCTCCTCCCTGCAGACACCCAGGGGTGTGACTTTCACCCCGAGGGTCTCCCGGCTGAAGTGATATCCCTCCATTATTCTCTGTTATGGGTTGATCTTTGCACGCCTCTCCCCCCCCCCCAAATTCATGTTCAAGTTCCAACCCCCATACGTCACAGTGTGACTGAATTTGGAGATGGGATCTCTACAGAGGCAAAATGGGGTCGCTAGTGTGGGCCCCGACCCGCTTCACTGTGAGGAGGCAGTCACGGCACAGACTCGCGCGGAAGGAAGACGTGCAAGGGCACAGGGAGGGCACGGCCATCCACACGCCGAGGAGAGAGGCCTGGGGGAACCGGCCCTGCCCAGCCCCTCGCTCTTGGCCTGCAGAACTGTAAGCGGACACGCTCCTGCTGCTTCAGCCCCGCAGTGGCGCTTTGTTACTGCGGCGTCTGCCAGCTAGTGCTCTCGCCCTCTCTCTCGCCACCGTGGCTTTCCTCTGCCCCTCACTCCCAGGCCTGGGCCACGGGCGCAGCCTTGCACTTTAACACGCAACCTGCCCACCGCGGGTGACGCCAGAGGTCACGCCGATCAGCTGCCAGAACCCCGGCTTCTCGGTCACTTCTCACCTCCAGGGGCCTGTGGTCAGTGCCAGCCACGGAGTCCCTGGACTGTCCAACCTGGAACGGCTCCACTCCCGCAGACCACAGACCCATGCACCCTGTCCCAAATGAGCCGCGCTGTCCCCCAGCTGGCTCGTCGGACAACGACTAAACTAACAGTCTCTGAGCTGATGGGACCACCAGTGTCTCTGGACCCCTCCTGTCCTTCCTTCCTTTCCAGCCAAGCCCCCAGCAGCCATCCGTTCGGACCGCGGCACGCCATTGCCAGTCACGAGTCTCTCGGTCTCTCTCCTCCCCTTGGCGGCCTGGCGAAACCGCAGCCTGGGTGAACCCCACCACTTGCTCCAGCCTTCAGGGGGAAGTCCGTCACACCCCACTACTCCTGTCCAGCCTCCACGCTCGACAGTTCTACTGTACTTCTCTGCCGGTCTCCTCTGCCCCCTGCTGCTCCACTACCTAAACTTTTCTCCGAGGCACCTCGCTCTCCGCGAGAGAAGGCGGAGCTGTGGGAAGGGCTCCCTCGACTTCCTTCTGCTGAACCAGCGCCCCCCTTCATTGGCAGTGACACGGCTCGGGACCCCCGCCCCACCCACTGTCTCAGGGACCCTCTCTTCGCGCGTCCTTGAACTTCTCACGTGCTACCAGACACGTCCCATCAGCACTTCAAATTGCTCAAGCCTCTTCCACATTAAAGCAAGTCCCCCTAGGACCCTCCCCAGTCACCTCCATTTCTTCCCACCCTTTCACGGCGTCCCTTCTTGAGAGGGTCCTAGGGGGACTCTTCCCCCCTCTCTCAGGCTTTCCACCTGCTAAGCTGGCTCCCGCCTCTGTCACTCACTGGACAGCTCTAAGTCACCAGCAGCTTCCAAGCTGCCAAATGTGACGGCCATTTCTTCTCGGCTCATGGACTTGACCGGGCAGCGACAGAGAGACCTTTGTTAAACACACTCCGACCAGCGGGCTCCCCGCTCACAAGTCCTTCGCTGACTCCCCTCTGGTCTCAGGATCCAGACCCGAACCCTGCACACGGAAGGCTCATCACACCCTCTACCTGCCCTGGGAGCAGCCTCGTTGTCTGGACCTTTCTTCCCTCTGGCCTGTAAGCTGCTGTGGGCAGGGGCCCCGTCTGCTTTGCCCCCACGGCCCCCCAGCACCCACCCCACCCAGGCGGAGTCCTCCCTGGAAGGGCCCCGGGAGTGACCTTTGGCACCGAGAGTGGCTCTGCTTCGTGGACCCTTCTGAGCACCCCCTTCACGCCCAGACACCCAGAGTCCGGGCCACCCGGCCTTGAACTTCCCCACGCTCCACCATTTCCTCCTTTTTGGGTGTGATGCAACCTGCGGCTCAGGGTCCCCACCTGGCCGCCACCTGTGTTATAAATAATGCTTTATTGGGACGCAGCCCCGCTCATTTGTCACGTCTCGCCTGCAGCTGCTTTCAGCTAGGACGGCAGAGCTGAGCAGCTGCCACAGAGGCCGCGTGGCCACGAAGCCTAAATATTCCCTCTCTGGGATGTAAAGAGAAGTAGCCGAGCCCTGGCACGGGGCGCCGCGCAGGGACCTACTGTGTGCTGTGGGGGAAGTCGAGCAGGTGAGTCATGGTGACGAAGGGGTGGTTCAGGGTCTCGATCGGAGTGATCCTCTTGTCGGCGTCGATGGTCAGCATCTTCTTCAGCAGGTCGATGAACTCCCGCCGGTCAGCCTTCTCCACCAGCATGTCGCTCCCCTCCAAGTCTGTGGCCATGTTCACCTGGGAGCAAGCAGGCGCAGGTCACCTGGGCTCCGCTGCGCCTCCCTGACTTCCCTCTTCTCTGCCACCCCGCCCCGATCTTTCAGCCGCCCCTTCCCGACCGCCGCGGGCGGGGCTGGCCCTGTTGGGGGCGCTACTGCCCACGGCTACTGCCCACCGGGAGGTGGCGGTGCTCTCTGCAGGAGAGGCAGAGAGGGCCCCCCCCACGGGGAAGGGAGAGGTCGCTGCCGGTCTGTGTGAGTGGCGGGGGGTACACCCTCCTGCTGTAATCCGTCAAATCGAAATGCACCTGCATCGCACCTCACTGACTGGAGCCACAAGACGAACGGGGTTCTGCAGACCGGCTGCAGAACAGAGTGAGTGTACCTAAAGCTCCTGAAAGTGCAGTTTAAAGATGGTGAAATGGTAACTTGTAGGCTCTGTGCATTTTACCACGATTAAAACCAGTAACTGCAACTGAGCAGGACACAATAAGATGCAAAAGGGTTACTTATTTGACCTGCGAGGGGAGCGCCGGGGGCTCAGTGCCCTCCCGACACCTGCAGGGTGTGGGTCCTCAGGCAGCGCCCGGCGTGGCGGCCAGCACGCTCCAGTCCCTGTGCTCACTGGGGTCACCTCTGCAGGTGGTGACCGCCCCTGCTGGGACGGGCAGGGCGTCCGAGCACGGGGTTCTTCTTCCCAGATCAAGTCTGGAGACTAGGGCAGCCTTTAATGGACTTGTTTTGTGGTGCTTTCTGTGTTTTCCACAATGTGCCCTGGAAAGCAGTTTCGGTTTTCTAGGACAGTCGGAGCTTCTGGTCAACTGACGAGCGTACGTCACTCAGCATCGGGATGTGTGGTTACCCGCGCCTTCAGGGAGAGGCGTGCTGGGTGGTGAATGGCCCCTAGCTTTATTTCAGACGTGTCCTTACACTGAAAAGAGCTGCGGCCCTCGCAACTCCCCTGGTCGCAAAGGCGAGAGCCTGTGGTCCCTGCAGTGCGCCGAGAGAGACCCAGTGCGGTGCGCGGAATCGTGTCCCCGCAACAGACGAGTCTGAGCCCCAACCTCCGGTACTTGGGAACGCGCCCCGACTCGGAGACAGGGCTTCTGCAGGGGTGCCCAGTTAAAACGAGGTCACACTGGAATCGGGGGCTTTACATCCAGTGACTAGCATCTTTATAAGATAAAGAAGAGGGAGATTCAGATGCAGAGACAGAAGAAACCCTGGGTGAAGCCACATGAAGGAGGAGGCAGAGGCTGGGGGGATGTAGGGACACGGAGGGTCCCAGGAGCCCCCAGGAGCCAGCAGGGAGGCAAGGGACGCGTTCCTGCTGGGGTCTTCCGGGGAGGCACACCCTGCTGGTGCTCTGACTTCGGACTCTGAGCCTCCAGAACCATGAGAGAAGAAATGCCTGTCATCTCAAGCCGCCTCGAGTGAGGTGCCTTGTTACGGTGGCCCTGGGAACTAACACCGAACCGAGGGCATGAGACTCAAACGCACCCCCAGGCTTAAATTCCTCTCGTGGGAACGCCAGTGGGACTGGCCAGCACTGTTCCACGGAGGGGAACCAATAAGCCGGCGCTACTTCTGAAGAGCTGCTGTTAGGTTTTAAAAATGTTCCTCAGACCCAGTGGTACTCTTCCTCAGGCTGGCGCGTCCTTGTTTAGGGTCAAGGGCAACCACGGCAGCCGAGTCGACCCTATGACGCTCTGGCAGAAGCCTTGCTGTGCTTGGTCTCTGAGGGGCTGCCACTGCACGCTCACCCACGGGGCTTACCTGGGCCATGTCGTCCAGACAGTTGAAGATGTACTTCCTTGCTTCTTTTGACTTGATCCCCGTCTCTGCTTCATGGTCGTCTGGCGTCTGGTCAAGAGAGGCGAAAGCCGATTGGTCATCTGAATTATTTCCCGGTCGCTGCAACTTAAAGCCTAGAGCTTCTGTGTCTCACGGGGGTTCTCTCCCCCGCCTTTCAGGGAAGGAGACGCTGATTCCTCTTAGAGTGGCCCGCGCGCTAATTACGTTCTCTCTCCGTCCTTCACACCACCCCGGTCCTCTCCCTTCCTTCCCACAGACACCTGCTCTGCGTCGGGTCTGGAGGGTTCAAGGTGGACCAGGTGCCTGTGACAACCCCACACTCTTCCCTGATTTAAGGGGTAAGGTCCCACATGTGGAAAAGCAGAAGCCCTCCTCCGCGTGGCTTAAAATTTTAATTTAATTTTTTAATCAAATGCTTATACATATAGCTCTCACTATGTGCCAGACACTATTTTAAAGCACATAAACTCACTTAAGACTCTGTATAACCATCTCAGGTAGGATGATTACCAGCCCATTTCCAGAGCGAGAAGCAGGAATGGGAAGTTTAAGGAGCTCGCCAAGGTTCTACGGCCAGTAAGCGGCAGCTGGCTCCGGAGTCTGTGTTCTGAGCCGCCCTCCCACCTGGGACTGGGGCGTGCATGTCCAGCCCCCCACTGGCCTCGGTCCAGGAAGCTGCTGCTTCCCATCACTGTGGGTTTCAGGACGCACCCAGGGACCACAGGTAACTGATCCTCAAAGTCTCCCTGGAGAACAGCACGTGTGGAGCTGCTAAGATCTAGGCTTCGACCCCGTGGACAGCTGGACAAGTAGGACTGGGCGCTCAGCTGAGCCATGGAAGTGGACCCTGCCCCTGCCCAGCCTCGCCCTCCTCCTCCTCCTTTTCCCTGGGCCTGACCTTGAGCCTCGCACCAACAGCCCGAGAGTCCTCGCTTAGCCTCTAGGTCTTTTGTGACTCTTGGCCTCCCATTATCTTTCTTTCGTTTCCCCCCAAAGTTTCAGTGACTCTATTGGGGTGACATTGGTTAATAAAATTACATAGGTTTCAAGCGTACGATTCTATCATATGCCATCTGTGTGTTGTGTGTTCGCCATCCGAGGTCAAGTCTCCTTCCATCACCATCTCTCCCCTCTCCCCCCCACCCCCTTCCCCCACCCGCATACCCTGTCGTCGTCACCGCACTGTGCTTTCTGTGCTCAGTGCCTTCACTTTGCTCACCCAGCCCCTAAGCCCCGCCCCTCCGACAGCTGTCAGTCTGTTTTCTGTATCTTTGAGTCTGTTTCTATTTTGTTTGTTCATTTTATTCATTAGATCCCACACATTATCTTTAAATTGTACTAGAAGGTGGCTGTAGTTTCTGCCAAAAAAAAAAAACACAACAAAAACAAAAAAAACACTAACAACCACCCACCCACTCTCTTGCAAAAAAGGGCAGCACCTAAAATGAACATAAGACACGCCGAAGGCTAGCACTATTTTCCAGGAAAATACATTAATTTTAATTACTAGGTGTAGATAAAAGTGAAAGCAAAATATGTTTCCGTTAAAGTAAAACCACCGGAGTTCATGGTGTGCAACCGTGCATCGCACCACCTGCCGGCTGGAGGGACGGACCCCCGCCCCGGGGGCCCCCAGATGCCGCGGGTGTCTGGGCATTTCCTGTGCCTGGAAGACCCTCTTCATCCTGCAGGGCCCGCCTCCAGTGCCCCTCGGGGCCCTCTGCCGCAGGCAGCGCGCGAGGCTCCTGAGCTCCGCTCCCACCAGGAACGGGGTCCTTATTATGGAGGCCACGTGTTTGGTCTCCCTCCGGACTGGGAGCCCCTTGAGGACAGGGGCTGGTTGATTTCTCTCCTCGTGCAAACCAGACAGGCCGTTACGGTTTCCCTGATTACATTCTGGGAGTTTAGCAATCGGGGGCGGTGCTTTTGAACGTTCAAATTCATCCATGTACCCCAATAGCACCCCTCCCCCAGGACGTGGGCCGCTACGCACAGCTCCCCCCTACGCGGCCGAGCCTTCCTTCCCCGGGTGCTGGGCGCTGGTGAGTGACGGAGGGAGGGCGCGCTCGTCCTACCTTCAGCCTCCACAAAGGGTACGGCGAGTCCGTGTCACGGTTGAAAAACCTAGTTGTCTTTGTCCCCGCGCTCAATAAATATTCAGCCGGCAAACCCTGTGTCTGTGAGATATACCGAATCTGCAAGGAAAGATGAGAAGGAGGTCAGAGTGTCTCCCGTCACCGTACGCATGGCATATTAACGGCTCTAGTGCCTTGGAGAGAAATACAGTGTTGTAGGGAAAGGAGAAGCAGAAAACAGAAAAAGGGAAAAGGAAGGGGAATAAAGAGGGGGAAGCAAGCCAAAGGGACACCCCACGACCTCACCCCCGTGCCGTGTCGCAAGCGAACCGCTGGTCCAGAGGAGGCGGGAGCGGCTGCCGTGGGGACCTGTGCCACCTGGACCCACCTGGTCGTACTCCGAGGCGCCCGGGTACAGCGGCCAGCCCAGGAACAGCTCCGCAATGACGCAGCCCAGGGACCACATGTCAATGGCCTCACAAAACGGTAAACCGAGGATGATCTCAGGGGCCCTAAGGAAGAAGAATGGATGAGAGTATTAGCCGTTGAGAAATGCGGGCAGCCGTTTCGCTATGAATCCGACATTACAGCCTGTCTGCCAAACCCAGGGGGCCATCACGGACGCGCCCCCCCCCACCCCAGCCGAGGGCCCGTGTGGTTCTCTCGCCGTGTGGCAGCGACCCCTCCAGTCTTGGGCCTGGTCCTCCCACCAGCAGGGGCCCCGGCCAGGTGGCTGGTCTGTGGCTCTGGGGCGGACCGAGAGGGGTCCCCACCAGTTGATTCCATTACTGTTGCACCCCAACCAGATGAGCTCAGAACCACTGTGGGGGAACCCGGGAGCTCTCTCCTGCAGCTGAGAACTCGGGAAACCGATGTTTAGAGAATGCCCGGGTTTCACAAAGGAATTCTCATGTACAGGTATTCTATTTTCAATAATATACTGCATAAGACAAGTTGCCTCCACCCAGAATAATGGGATGAAATCCAATACCCGTCCTTGCCACTGATCCCTTTCTTAGGAGTTTGTATCCCACTTTCCCTAGGAAATCCTCTTTTTATTCACTTCTAAAAAGCTTCTAAAAAATTCTCTAATACTGCAATTACAGAGCCGTGTTCATGAACACCAGGCTGGTTATCGGTCAGAATTCCACTCTGAACCCGTCCCCCACTGCAGGAGCGGTGGCCCTTCGCACACCAGGGAAGGTTCCCCGCTGGAGCTGCCGCAGGGACTCGCCTGAACTCGGAACATTTCACCTGTGGTCAGTCATCAAACCCAGAGGGACCAGAATGCATCTTGTTGTCTAAGCATCTGCCGTCATTAGGCAGGGGTGCGTTTCGGGGAAACCGAGCTCCGAGTACGAGCGATGAGCACAGATTGTGTTTTTAAAAATGTGGCTCCAGGCACTCTGGGGGGTAGGACACACACTAGCCCACCTTCTGTTTCCTCTCAACACCCCCCCACTCGATTCCCCCGTGAAGCCCCCCCAGCCTGCCCTTGCAGCAGCCCAGGGCGGGCATGAGGGAGCCAGGGCCTTCGCTGCCCAGGTGACGCTCGCCCGTGTCGCTCGAGGGCGGGGAGGAAGGGTGTGATCAGAAACCACCTCCGCTCGCCTTGGTGCTTCGAGCTGAATTATTCCCCACTTTGCTCCTATAAATTTGCTCTCGCTGCTAACATTTGTCCCTCTCCATAACAGTACTGAACAGACAAAACCAAACCCAAAAGGTCCTGTTACAAAGTCTTGATTTTTCGCACGTGCAAAGGAGTGTCTGCCCGTCCTCCGAGCTGGAGATCAGCGCCCTGCTGGGTGCCTGTAGGGGCTGGAGCCCGGGCAGCGAGACGAGACGCGACTCTCCCCCAAGCCAAGCCTGCGTCCCCCCAGGAGGGTGGGGGAGAGGGCCCCCGGGTTCCTTAACGGCCAGTCCTGTCCCTGTCCCCTCCAGCCGACACCTTGATCTGGGACTTCCGCCTCCAGAAAGCAAGTGTCTGTGGTTCTAAGTCACCCACCATCGTGTCCACACCCACGGGTTCCAATCCCACGCCTATTTCCGAATGGCTGTCCTCACCTGGAGCCTTTCTCAGCCCCAGCTGTACATCCTGACGGCCCGACATCGCCGCCAGGATGTTTCACCATCAATCCGCGCGAACGTGGTTGTCTAGGAGGGGACTGTCCCCACCCCCAGCTCATCGCTGCCACCACCGCCCTGCTGCTCCTGGGAATGACCCGAGTCCTCTCTCCCCCGCTTTGTCCTCACCACCCGACCCATCAGCAAGACCAGCTCCGGGGTACACCTCAGACTGGGCCCCTATTCCCCACCTCGGCTGCCCCCACGCCGGCGCCGCCAGCCACCCCGTCTCGCCCGGCCACCCCATCTCACTCGGAGCTCCCTGCCCGATGCTCCCTTCCTCCGATCCGTGCTCCGCGCAGCAGCCGAGTGGCCGCGTCACCCCTCCCCTGGCCTCCAGCCCTGCAAAGGCTCCCCACTCAGAACGAGACCTAATCCCTCCCACGGCCCGCAGGGCCCCCCAGGATCGGTCCACTCTCCCAGTTCTCGAAGCTCCAGTCCAGCTGGCTTCCTTTCAGTGCCTCAGATACCTAAGTGGCTGCTGGGCCTGGGCCTTCATGCAACGCTGCTGCTGCTTCTGCCTCCCCCGCGCTCTCCGCCGGCTGCCCCCTTCTCCCCCTGCAGACGCAGCGTCATCGCCGCCGCCACAGACGGGCCTCCCTCGACACCGGTCAGTGTCCAGCTGCAGTGCCACGCAGGTCGCTGGGCAGCGCGTGCCCAGTGACCCGCCGGCTGCCTCTTCCCGCTGCTCAGCCCACGAGGCAGCAGAGCGCCCGGCGTCTGGTGGCCACTTGGTCCGTCAGGATTTGCTGCTGGAATAAACCTCTGTGAAGCATATAAGGAAGTGCTGAAATACGCGATTCCGGTGGGAAGGTCTACAGGGAGCACGAACAAAGGAGAGTAGACGGGGCTTGGTCTCCGTGATGGGATGGAAGCTTGGGCCCAGAGGGCAGGGGTCAGCCCGAGGAGGGATGAGCCTCTGCCCCAGGAGCGTGCACCCCGAGACGGGTGTGCGCCTGCAGCCCATGCTCCCCTGAGCAGCGCCAGCTCTGAGGGTCGCAGGGCACTATCTGCAGGTGGCTCCCCAAAATCACAGCAAAAAAGCCAAGGGGAGTAGCAGGGGCAGAGAAGGCCCCCGAGAGTCAGCTCCCCACAGCCTCTCTCTGCTTCACTCTCTCTCGTGTCCAGCTCGCCGCTCGGCTGCCACTGCCGCGGGCGTGGCCGAGCCCTGGGCAGCCCAGGCCCTCTGTAAGCCCCACTGGTCTCTCGTCTGTGGTTCCAGCCTTTCCCAGTCTACCCCGAGGCTCCTCCTCACCCACAAGGATGCGCCCTTTCCTCCGTACCCACGATACGCCAATATAGCTTGTCCCACCCCCCCCCGCCCACCCCACTTTCTGACTCAGACCTGCACTGCCCACCTTCTCTGCGCTGGTACAACCAGTGAAATGAAGACTCGAACACGACCCACCAGATGGGTCCCACAGAGAAGAATGGAGCACCCACCGCTGTTCTGGACACACGTCCAGGTACCTGCCCGCGCGAACCCTTCTGAAGCACACCCAGCGATGCCGTACAGAGGTCGGCTCGGCACCCAGGCCAGGCGCCCTCGGGCGAGGAAGGCGCTCCTCCACCTGGCCCCCAGAAATCCTCAGGGGGCTGGAGGCCTTTCTGCTGTGACCCGGCATCTGCCGGCCCCAGCTCTGCTAGTGCAGAAGGCTCCGAGCTCCTGGAAGTTCAAAGTCAAGTCTAGAATCTGCTTCCTCTTGTTCGGCACACCTGAAGCCCATGCTACGCACAGTGGTGGCTAAGGCTACTCGTGCTGCAGTGACGGAGACGCCAGTCTTGCCCATGGTTATTCTTAAGCCAGATTTGGGGTTGAGCTCCATTCGTTCACTCATGTGCTCGAATGCTCAGCCTCCGTTCCCTAAGCACCTACTACGTGCCACGCACTGTGCCGGGTGCTGAAGGGGGACGACCAGACCAGGTGCTCCGGCACCTCCAGCAGTCCACTGTGTGGTCGGAGGCAGCAGCATGCCAACCGCCCCCACCCGACGTGCCGAGCGTGTGCCTGGCACACGAAGGAGGGACTTCTTGGGGCAGCGAGACAGAGCAGGGAGGGCTTCCCGGGAGCAGCTCCGAGCTGAGTCGTGGTGAGCGGACAGGAAGGGGTGGTGCCAGCCACAGGGCAGGGTCAGTGCACACCCCGACCCCACGTCACCGCTGTGTCTCCAGCGCACCTGGGGCATGGCAGGCGCTCTCCACACATCTGTACAAGGAACGCACCTTTCTGTTTCAACCCTGACGCTGGCACCGTCTCCTTGGCAACCCTTCCGGTGACCAGAGGCAGACAACTTGGCCTTTCTGTTTCAACGTTTGTCTGCTTTTTTTTTTTTTTTTAATCACATTCTGGTTTCTTCCACGGAGGCCGTTTCTGTTCTCAGTTCGGTTCCGCAGCAGGCAGGACTGCTGGCTGGAGAAAACCCTCCCCGTCAAGCTCGGAATCGCCATCCCGGTGACAACTCATCCCCCTTCACTCGCCACCCCCGGAATCAGGATCGTCTTACAGTTTCCCCAAAATCGCTATTTTGGGACACAGAAGATGCTTTAACCATACACAAGGTGTCAGACAAAATTTACACCTGAGAGAGAGGAACTGTTCCCTTCTAACCTTCCCATCGCAAGACACTGAAAATTCTTGTTTTTTAGAGAAAGAGAATAAACAACCGCCATTTCCGACACATTGATTACTGAAGCTTTGATAGGTCGCCCCGCCAGCTCTCCTGACGGTGCTCACAGCCAACAGCGCATTCCGGGGTCACGCCCAGGTCACGTGGCCCTGCGGGGCAGTGACCCGACAGAGGTGGGAGAACACACCCATTGACCACGCACACTCGGGGGGCCCAGTGCTGTCGCGTTCCATCTGCACCCGGCACCGGGCCGGCACGCAGCAGGCGATGGACAAACATCACACCACTCACTGGTACTATGTCCAAGGCCCTGTCACAACGCTGCATAAAGGGCATCATTTTAAAAGCCCACTTGCTTCTGTCCACGTTGAAACACAAGGACATCTCTGTTTAAATATACTAAAGCATACAAATGAAACACTTTTTGTTTTCATTTATGTACCTAAAAAAGTACAAAGGTTAATAACCAACAACCAAGCACAAGTACCTACCACCCAGCTTTAGAGAGAAAGCTGCCTGTCCACAGCTCCCCACACCCTCCTTGCACGGGGAAGGGGGACCCTCACTCTGCAGCCCCTTTCACGGTACCTCCCCTTGCTCCCCCAAGCTCCCCGGCCAAGCAGACGGCCAGAGTCACCGTCTCGACCATCTGCACGGCACGCTAATAAAACAAGTGCAAGGTTCACAGCCACTCCCAACTTGGGCAATAAATCTGCAATACTAATCAGAGAGCACAGGAAGGACTGTGCATTTCTGGAGAA